ATGTAAAGTCCCCATGGATTGATGGGAAAACAAATTAGATTAAATAAAAAGTAAAGGGACATAATATGGCCATAATAGCAACAAGTGGACAACACTTATCAGCTCATCCTGACCAAATAAGACCTAGGAGTAATGATGAAGAAGTTGAGATGGAAGAGGAAGAAGAACCTGAAAGCAAGGAAAGCATGAGTTCTTCTGATGCAGAAAGCAAAAATAGTAATAAAGAAACTATAGAGGATAATTTGCATGAATATGACATTGAGTTAGAAGATCAGAAGGAAGATTAGTTTTGACCAAGATCTCCAATAAAACAAATCAGGTGCATACCTCAAGACAGAGAGAAAAGATCTCATACTTTTGTTCAAATGAAGGTTTTAACCTCTTCGTTTCTGGGAGGCAAAATGGACAAACAGAGTCCAGCATCTACTAAATAAGTCAGTTGTCACTCAGCAGAACACCATAGCGTAGAACACATCATAATACTGACATTATAGTGTAGATTTGAGTTGGCATTTCTGAGTTGAATGACTGCTAAGAAATATTTTTGTAACTCTTAGGAGGATCTGATTTATACTGACTGCCATGATCATCTAACCATATTGAATATTTTTTGCATATCACTGCAAGGGCTGCCTTTTTCCATGCCCCATAAGTTGCAAAATATTTAATGTCAAGTTCATTCCTGATGTTCAACTGAAGAAAAATTGCTTGGTCATACTGAAGAATGTTGAGGCCACACTTACTTGGAGGAATCTTTCTTTGATGTGATGGGTGAAAATGCATGTTATTCAATTACCCACTCATACTTTACTGAATCTCAGTACTTCTGTTCTTGTCCCTCTAACTTTTGAGAGAACTATGTTAAAATGTCTTTGGGATTACAGAGTTCTTAGTGTTTTGCCAAATATGTCACTTCTCTCCTTCTGAAAATGCTCAAAATAAAGAACTATAGGCACACTCTGAAGATACATTTTCTGAATTGGATATGAGCACAATACTGCTAAATTTAGAAAGAAGCATGCAATCAGATTAGGGTAAGTGGGCATTGTTTGCCCAAAATAAGTGCTATTTCTAATGCACATGTCAATATGTTCTGAAGTTTGTTCTTCAGGTAAAGACAGTCCTTCTCTGATACTTGACTTTTATTTTCAAGAAAGGCAAATATCAAGTTGGGCTGTTGAAGATGATTTGAATGAGGAAGTGGTGTTTGTGCCTTGATACCTGGGATGAAATGTTTCTGTAACAATGAAGCAACCCTGATATTCCTAGTGATTGAAAATGATATTTAAGTCTATAATTCTTTTACTTTTTTTAAAAGTGGGATTGGTTTATTCACTAAAATGTACTTCTTGCAGTAAAATGGGTGGGGGGGGGAGAACCTATTAAACATGCCATCTTTAATTGCAAACTTATAGAAAATTATATGGTTTACACACATTATGGACAGTTTTTCATTTTGGAAACTAGCACCATATGTAGTTATGTAGTCCTATCATCTTGATTGATATGATGTGATTATTACCTAGAATGAGTGTTGTGATGTGGGAGATGTATTTTTTGAAATTTTTTTACAGTGAAGTTCATCCTGTACAAGGCCCAGGAACCACAAGGTAGAGAGAAATAGGCACAGTTTATGCGGATATGTGGGGAAGATAATGGTTAGTCCTTGATTGAACTGGTTAAGACTGTAGTGATCAGGAAAATATTCTCTTGGGAGTTGGTTCCACAGAGCAGTGGTTTGCATGAAAAAGCTGCTCAAATGGAACTTACTTCTCACCAATGGAATATGAAGAGAATGAAGGTAGTTCACCACAATGTGCTTAGCATGGTAGGTCCTATCTGTGAAGATTAGAACTGAAAGAACTAAGGAATGTGGTTTGAGCAATTTCAATGGAAGTAGTTATAGAGCAGAGAGAGTCTTGCGATGTTTTGTGTGTGAAAGAGGGTTTGCAGGGTGGAAAATAATTTATCACTCACAAGGATGCAGACACTTTTGGACTCTACTGAGACTGGAATGTGAGGACTGGGCAGCACCTGCCCAAATATGTCATCATAAAATATTGGTGCAAAACAACTTATATTAAGCTTTTCAATTTTTGATTCATAAATATAGTTTCTACTTAATTATGATATCACCTAAAAGAAAGATGGTGTGGAAGATTTTTAAACAATTTTTAAATTATGATAAATTATCATATTTAAAAAAAAGAAAAAATTCTTGTAAAAATTCATTATTCATCAAAATGCTTTTTTTTATTAAGAGAATAATGTCCTACATATAACTCATTTACAAAAGTAATTAAAAGGTTTTCTAATTAAATAATGTCATAGTTTTAATACATTTATTAGTTTACCATTTGGAGCAGATTTTCAGAAAATTAGCAAAAGTTTGAAAAAAATTGGATGATTTACATTCTCCAAGTAGTCCTACTTTTAACTAATAAAAAAAGTTAGGACATATGATTTAATTTCTCAAAATTTCATGAAATTAAGTAAGTTGGGTGTAACATACTTAAAATAAATATATTTTTTACCAAGGTTTTCTAAAACAAAAAATTTAAAAAATAATTTCATTCATTTGTGAAAGTTTCTGAAAGTTTCATTAAAACCCGACATTTATTTGATTTTTGTAAGAATTTCCAAATGAATGTGTTTTTCACCAGAACAAAGCGCAAAAACACTTAATTGTAAAAATTACTTACATAAATAATATTGATCTCCTTATAGTTGGTTCACATATTTTAATAATTAAGTAAATGTTTATAAATTCATGAAAAATTTTCTTATTTCTTTCTTTAAAAATTGATAAATGATAAATATTGCATTAGTTTTAATACAATTGTATTAGTTTTTAGAATGTTGAAAATATAAAATTATTCTTTTAAATAAACAATCTAATAAATAAATAGTGTTTAATATTTTTGTTCGAAATTCTCAAGAAAAAATGTATAAATTTACTTTCATCATATGTTGAGGTTTTATTACAATTCTAATCATCTCTTTTTAAAGCAATAAACATTGCTGAGGAGTGTAGGTAGTTAAAATAATAGCAGTGTCAAGGGAAAAACTGTCCTTTTGACACACCATTTTTTATTTTTTAGACATAAAGTGTCAAGATTCCCAATAATTTTATGTATATGAAAAGAGATGTTGATTCAGCTCAAAATAGGAAACATTAATGTTGGCTTTTTTTGGTTGTAACTAAGATTATTTAACTTAGCTAAAGATAAAGAATATATGATCATTGGTCTTTATTTGTAGTTCCTGTTACAGACAAGCATATGGTTGCAAGAAAGAAATACAACAACAGCAAAAATAGATTATTTACGTGATTTATTTCAATAGGAACATGTGGTTTTGGGACAGCTACCTTGTGGTATAGTTCATAGGCCGGCTGAAGATCTGGGTTGATCTCTCATCGTAGTACTCGCTGGTTGGTGTGTCGCTACTGCTGCTGGCTGCTGCTGACCGCTCAACCTGACCGTGACAGGTCTCTTCCCTGGCCTCCTGTTGACTCCCTCCTGTACTTCCGTGTGACCCCTTTTATGGCGTTTTTTATGGCTTAACAGGCTCGAAAAATGATGTGAGTATAATTAGGAGGGAAGCATTTTTATTGGTCGAAAAATAGAAACACTTTAAAATATTATTTTATTTTTGACCGGAACTCATGCGTCGGGAACATGCGTAAACGAAGATAATGGTCATTTTGTGACGGGGCCTTGTCCCGTTCACATCCGGCTCTTGGTCTTGAGTATGTTAGTTTATTTGCCTGTAAATCAGCCGAGATATGTCTTATTTTATTTTATAACATTCCATTTTTTAAAAAATCATTTCACCCACAAGCAAGGGCAATAAAAGCCACTAGGATGCAAGGGGTTACTGTAACAGAGAGGACAAAACAGGATTCAAGGAGAGGAGACTGATAGAAGTTAAAATAACATTAGTCAATATAATGGTCCACTTCACCAGGAACAAATATGTAGAATTTAACAATTTACTATACATTTAAGAATTTTTTGAGCCAAAGAAAAGAATGCTGATAATGGAATATTCAAAACTTGCACATGCAAAAACAAATATCTCTGCAAATATTACATTACCACAAAATTTGTTATGAAAAATCGTTACGTTTTTACTTTTTAAGAGAAAAGTCTGTAAAAATATCCATGTTCAGTGTGACATATTGATATGTCCCGGAAAGGGATATATTTGTTCAAAGTAAGCAAAGTGGTATTGAACTACTGTAACTGAGAAGGACAATCTAGCAGGTAACCGTAATGGACTGGTCCTCGTCATAGTGGTGGTAGGCAATAGGCGAAGACTATAGGCGTCGTCCTGTACCTCCACATCAGTCTGTATTTATGGCTGACACCAGCCAATCATATTACTGTGAGGGGGAACCAGGTGTATGCATATTCATTACATCACATATAAATACGGATAATTTGTAATGTTATTTAAATGATTATCAAGGAACAAATTGATAATGTAATTTGAACTACCATTAAAACAGAAATGTATGAAATTGCAAAGAAATTAAAGTTCTGGAAAAAAGAGAAAATGTCTTTCTTAAGTTCAGAGTTTGTAAATCCAGATGGATGTAAGAAAAAACCGTTCTGAAATTGTTCGTGGTACACATAGTGAATGTGAAAAATTTAATTTAATTGAAAATAAATTTTCAATTAAATGAAAAATAACAAAGTTTGAAATTAAATGTCTGATTCTGCTATATCTCCATAAGTTGCTATCTATGTAAAATGATTTCGAAAATGTTTATAAATCCAGAATTGACTGAAAGGTATAAATTATTCTTTGTTGAATTTAACATTTTGAATTTTTTCATCTAAGTCGTGTATGCTAAAAAGTGGCAAAATAACGTTGATAAGGCATTCTACTGGGATATTATTGTATAGTGGATTTCTTTCTCGTGCACCGTGAAGCAATACGCATGCGCGCATTTTTTATTGTACGTTCATTTTTCAGGACATTATCTTAATACAATGTCTGGACAACGGCAGCAAGTGGATATTTCCACATTACCTTTACCGCAGTTAAATCAGTTATCCCAACAACTTGATCAGGTAGCTATTCAATTATCTTTATTTTGATACGTCCGATTCTAAGTATCTAAAGACAAATTTGGCATTCAGACAATATGAGTTGTCATGGCGCAATTGTCAGTCCTCTAAGTAATTAAATAACTTACTTAAAAAAAAGAAAATCTCCAGTTTTTGATTTTATTGCTGATCTAATAGAATGTTTATTTGTATTTTTTTTTTTTACTATTTGGCACATGTTTATTTTTAATTTTATAAAAATCATACCGGGTCACGTGTGGGAACAACACTTAGAAAAAGTTGTCAGTTGTCTTCAAATTGAATGAAATAACATGAACATTGAAGAAAAATTAATCTTATTCAGCTTAAATAATTTTTTTTAAAAGCAAATAAATTTCATTAACGATTTATTCTCAAAGCATGAAATTATCCATATTTTTCCGCTTTCCATCATTATTTAATCATATCCATTATTTCTTTCTTTTTTTTTTTTTTTTGAATAGCCAACTTACAAGACGCAGTTGTCTTTCTTCCTTCTAAATTTATTTTTCGGTTTTCACGGTTTCAAAAATTCTTATATTTTCAGAAAAAATTCAGATGTTAATTACTTTAAGCGAATTAAGCATGATGCTAGTTATTGATATTATTCAAAGTTATCTCTTATTGCTTTTTTAAATAACATGAAAACAGGATATTTAATTTTGTTTGATATAAAAATAAAAAGTAAGGCTCTTTTCTTGTTGAATATTTAATTTTCTTGAATTGAGTGGTTATAAAATATAATGCAAGGTTAAAGCGTGAAAAGTATTTTTTGTAATTACAATGTGTCATGCAAAAATGTAAGTTTTTCTGTAACTCAGAAGAAGGGGTAGGGGCGAGGGAGAAAGTCCTTTGCGCTCTTTTGTGAAAATTACAGAAATTGCATACGACAGGTTATCGCTGTAAACTTTTGCATACATCTCATACAAGTGAACAAAAAAAGAATACTTGATTTAGTTAGAAATATGACCTGGCTCCGAGATTCATCACCCATTGCCCCACTCAGCCCCAAAAAGGTAAATTCTGGGGATAGTTTCAGTGGCTTACTAACTAACATGTTGATAGTGTCAATGAATTGTTAATCAAACGTTATGGAAAAGTGGTTTTGAAAATAATTCATGCAAATATTTCTTGGTGCAGTAATCAAAAGAAAAAAATGGATAAACTACATACAGTGATTAAAATTCCTTTGTTGTACAATACATCATTTAAAAAAAATTTTTTTTTACTGATTTTCACCTAGTGCAAGCCCAAGAGCCACTCAAGGTAAAGGGTTACTGAATGATGTATGAGTGTAGGAGGAGGTAAGAAGGGCAATTATGATGCTATGTGGGAAATATATATTTGGTTAATTCTAGACTCTAAGTGGTTATGGTTGTAGTAATTGAGAAGAAGCCTTTCTGAGTAGAACTTCCTTTTTACTAATGGTGTACAAACAGAATGGTGATAGTTGTCCCAGTATATGTGGTATGGTGGGTCTTTGCTGTGAAGGCTAGAACTGGTGGAAGTAAGGAATTTAGCTTGTCAGAATATTTACCATAGAAATAGTGATAGTCGAGAGAGGAATGTGTTGTTTTTATTTGTAGGAAAGGAGTTGTATGGTGGTTAAGAAATAAAAAATCACCCACAAGTCTGCATAGAAACTTTTGAACTCAAGAATAGAAAGTGAGGACTGTGTAACTCCAACCCAGATATGGCAGCAGTACACCTTTTTTGATCTGATCTGACTCTTGTAATGATAAAGGAGCAATACAAGGAACCGATCATATTTGTTTTGCATCTTTAGTGATGAGTTCCACTTGAGGTTTGGGATAAGCTTCAGTCCCAATTAGTGTTCAAGGCAAGGAACAACTGTTTGTCATGATAGGCAAAAAACTCAGGGTCTGCTCAGTGATGATGAAACATTATTAGTTGTTTGTGTTTTTTTTTTTTTTTTTTTTTTTTTTTTTTTTTTTTTGAGGTATTGAATGTTACAAGTTATTCCCTCATTGGGCTGTTCAAGCTAGATCAAAGGAGATATCAGCTGCTCTGGTCATCTAGATTTTTAGATATGCACGCATTCACTGTTGTGTCATCTGCATAGATATTCACTAAAGATCTGAGTATGCTCTTCGGCAGATCATTAATAGAAAGAGGACCGGCTTGAGAAGAGAGCTTTAGGGAATATTTGCACTGATTGCATAGGCTTCAGAAAACTGACCACTAACAAAGACCTACCTGTCAGGAAGGACTTGATAATTGAGAAAACTCTCCCAGAGATTCCATAGCTGGAGAGTTTGTGTAGCAACCCCCTATACCACATCTTGTCAAAGGCCTTTAATATATCTAAGATGATGATCCATTTGATGAATTTATTGTCTGGTGCTGTACTGATTCTGTGTATAACAACAGTAAGGGCATTGACATCTAATCTAGCAGAGTGAAATCCATACTGTTTGTTGCTCAGGAAGTTGATCCTGTTCAGGTGATCAAAAATCTTCCTGTTGATCATAGGCTGATGACACTAACGGGGATAATGGGTTGATACTGCAATGGAGATGAGTGCTTATCTGAATTCTTGAATACATGGCATACAACAGATACATTTCATTGATTTAGGAGCATTTCTCCTTCAGGCAGTGGTTGAAAAATTTCATAAAAATTGGAGATCACTCTGGGTTAATGGTTTTTAAGAACAACCACAGGGATTTTGTCTGGACTGGTAGCCTTCTTAGAGTCAAGGCTTTGCTAAGTCTGGGAACTTCCTCTGCTGTGACAGATATTACAAAGTTTATGCTCAGTGAGATGGGTAAGGGATATCCCTTATTGTCTAACAAAAGACAAAATTCATTGCAAAAAGACTTTCTTTATATGAGGAAGATGAAATAATCACATAGGTGTTTGATATTTGGCACTGATGCCTTGTTTCTATTGGGAATTTTGTTTGAGATTTTGCAGAACCCACAGGAACCAAGTTTTTTGTTTTCAACTATGGCTTTGACTGATTGTGAGCTTGAATTTGATTGCAATAATTGTGAGAGGTTTTGAATGTGGTAAGAGTCATACTACATTGTTCTGTGATAGAGATGATATTTGTGGTTACAGTGAGTTATGGCTGCATTACATCCTGGTGTGAACCAAGACTTGCTATTTGTTTTTTTTTTCTGTGAGATAAAACTTTCCATGTTAGAAAGCATCCATTCAGAGATGAAGGAGGCAGCTCTGGAAGCTTTATTTTTGAAGAATACTGAAAAGAGAGCTGCTGCAATGTAAGATATGAAGCTATCCCATTCATTTTTGGGGAACTGAAAGATTGTCCTATGAAATATATACTTGCAGAAGTTAACCTTTTACAATGGGTTTATCAAAATCTCCTGTTCAGAAGTAGAAATTGGTTGAAAGCAGATGAAACTGAAAGGCATGAAAAGTTGAGTTAATTTTCTATATGCCATGTTCCTTCAGGACATAGGTGATCATGGCTCTCCACAACTATCTCTTGTAGCTCTTAGCAATGTTTGACATTTTATGCTCCCTTCCATTCCCTTACACTCATTTACACAAGCTCATTACATAGGTTACTCACTGTTTCTCTTGTCCCCCTCTTGACTTCTATATGTCCTGTAAGTGTCAAATTTTCTAAACCTTTCTTTCTTCATGTATTCTATATATTTTGATTTTAAGTACAAATCTCTTTTTCATTTCCAGTTTTTTAAAAACTTCATCACTGCCTACATGCTCCATTTATGGTTGCCTGAAGTTTTCTCTTCTGTGGGGAAATTGTTCTATAGTCACTGCCATATAGGAGGACTGATATTGCATAGCAGCTTAACACTTTTTTGCCTTATTTTCAATGAGGTTAGATGTTGTGTGACATTTAGAAACTGACGACTGACTTATTTCAGTTGTTTTAAATTCAATAGCTCAAACAAAAGCTAAATTTTATTGAGAATAATTTAAAATTTTGAACTCTAATTGGATGAAAAAATATTAATGCAATAAGTTATGCACATTTTTATTGGATAGAAAATACTATTGACAGAGTTGCAAGGCTGTTTTGATCCACTTTGATTTTTTTTTTTTTTTAACTTTGTATAGAAAGTTTAGTGTTTGTAACAAGTGTTCCTATTGGTTAGAAAATGTAAAAGTGAAGGCCTTTTTGTACCAAAAATGATTCTGCTGAAATTGTTATAGTGTCTGCAACAGAAGTTTGTTTCTATTATTCCAACTGAGCATGATGAACATGGTCTCTGAACTTTGCCCTAAGAGATGTGAGGTAATTTAAAACCCATAGTTATTAGCACAAAAAAGGAGACTTGATCTTCAGAGGTTGAATTTAAGTTTAGTTGCTTGTATATACTTAGCTCCAGCTAATACCCTTTGGGAAAGACTGATATGTCACATTAATTGACAAGTGAGAAAGTGGGGAGGTGATGTAGAACTTGGGCTAACCTAGGTACCTCCACGAGATCGCTAAAAAAAGAGCATAGCATGATGAATAAGACGCCAAACTTGACGAAAACAAAATTTTATCGTCTAAATGTTTGTTATTCATTAAGAGGAAAGGTCAAAGTATTTTTGGGGTATTTTTTTCCATTTTTTAATCGTTCCTAGCACGTCCGAAAATTTTCGTTAAAATCTTTTTTTTTTTTTTTTTTGTGTCAGCAAAATTGACCATATTTTTTTTCCATTTTAAAAAAACTGGAAATCTGACTTTGAAATTTTTTAAATATCAATTATCATTTTTCAAAACTTATTTTAAGAAAATCAGAAATTATAATGTTTATTTAAAATATTTTGAACCAAACTTAACTTAGCTTTTTGTGCCAAAAAGATGTAATTTGAAAATAAAACAAAGCAGGTCATAAACTTTCGCGTCTCTTGACATGTGATGAATGATATATTTACAATTCCATGAGGCTAATTTGTTCTCTGGAAGGAGAAAAGTGAAATAATTTACATTTACGTGAACAAATTATTTACCCCGTTATTTTTAACGAAAACTTTCA